ATCAGGTTTTTTTTGTTTTTTGTTTTTTTTTTTTTTATAATGACTTAGTGGATAGTAGTTTAGTGCTGTTCCTTCTCAACGAAATAGGGAACAAATCCTTTGAAAATGTGTTGAGGAAAGAACAATGTACAAGACAGAAACAAGCTATACTTGTCGGGATTGAGTAGTTTTGCACCAAGTGAATGAAAACATTTTCTTTCTTCCTTTTTTTTTTTTTTTTTTTTTTTTTGGTGACACCACTGTCTTTCTGCCGAAGATAATCAGCTATGGCTTTTATACCTGGGAACTATGAATTCAGAATTCCTTTGTGGGACAAGGAAGGTCTTGTGGGCTGTTTCAGGAATCATTATTATATTGTAAGATTTTATTTGTAGAATAAGTATATTCTCAGTTTTCATGTGTGCTGTTTGCAGAGTTTAAAATCTTCTCTTGGGTGACTTTTAAGTAGTCATTTTCCCCGGAATTGCTAGATGATTGTGTGAGGTAGTGTTTGTTTAAAATCACTGAGGAGCAATAATTCATACTTAGTATAATTGACTTTTTTTGTAACCTTAAATGTAAATCATAAATTGTTAAGATTATTCCTGTAAGGAAAGTCCATAGACTTCTGAAGAGGCCCCACTGCATCAGAATAATCCCCAAGGGAAGCAGAGCTCTAAACTGGCCTGAACTCATGGAGATCTGCCTGCCTCTGTCTTCTGAGTGTTGGAATTAAAGGTATGCACTACCATGCCTGACAACATTTCTTTAGCTAAGTCTTTGGATTGCATTTCAGAAGCAAATTATAGGACACAAAAGGCCTGCGGTAGACTAAGGATCTGTATTTTATCTCTTCTTGTAACTCTACAATCAATTTATTTCTCTTTTAGGGCATTGTTTATGTGACAAGAGGGAGCCCCATTGTGTTATGTACAAAGATTTCATTTGAGTTCTCTGTTGTGCAATTATTCACCTGCTGCCAAGCTCTAGGCAAAATACCAAGTTCCAGGACTGAAGTGGAAGAGTCACAGAATAAATAACGACTTTCATTAGGTTTATTCTTTTTACTTTTCTTTGTGTCCTCCTGTTGTTACTCTGTTGGGGATACATTTATCTCCACCATTCTGCTTACTTGTTGGAATTGGAAAGCTTTCTGAATAAGGACTACTACTCCTTGGGAGTGAGGAAAATTGCAGGTGGAAGCCAAGAAATGTGATAAAGTAGTAGTAAAAGCATATATGAAGTCATGTCAGTGGTGTTTTGTAAAGGGAATTAGTTCCCCACATGTCCTGACTTAGTTTCGAGAAGTGTTCTGTTTGCTTTTGTTTTGAGATGGGATCCCATTCAGTAGACCTAGCTAACTTTGCACTCCTGCCCCAGCCTCTTAAGTGCTGAGATTACAAGTATGAGCTACCACACCTGTTATGTTGTCATACTTTGACATTCTTTATGACATTCTTTAAAACAGTTGCTACATCAATTTCAGAACTTTAGACTTTAGTTCTTCATTCCTTTCTGTTTCCTTTTCTCCTATAAGCAACATGGGTCCCCACCCCCCCTTGCTTCTATCTTACCATTTTCTGTGGGGCTGTACTTTTTCCCCCAAGTTATAAAGGTTGCTGCTATGAGTATCCTGGTATATATGCTGTCCTGTCTATTTTTTGCTACTTCTTTTAGCCTCTAACAAGTGTTTTGTTTCTTGACAGGTACTCTGGTCTGATAAAATGCTTGTGTGCGTAAGTACGCACACACACACACACACACACACACACACACACACACACACACACACACACACACGGGCGGGGGGGGGGGGAGAGGGGGTAGTTTTAACTACTTGTTTTAACCATTGGAGTTCGTTCTTTCAAGGAGCTGAGGGTTTCCATGATACAGGGTATTAAATTTGGATATAAATTCTGTTTTATTTAATCCATACCTTATAATAACAGGGTCTTACTCAGTTTAGGAGGTACAGAATGGGAATAAATAATGGACTAGGCTTTGTATAGGGGGAGATGTTTTGAATGGAGAGGCCATTTCTGTTAAGAAAATTTCTATCCCACCTGTCTCTTATATTAGTGTACTTCTGCCATTACTGTTCCACTAACAGGGTTCTTTCTAAAGCTACTGTTGATTTGGCCAAATATAATGGTCAGATTTTACATTTTTTGCTTAATGGAGAATCACTGCAGCTTCTGGCTTAAGTGTCACAATGGATTTACTTTCTGCCTTACCACCAAGAGTATATAAACTTTAATACATTAGAAACAACCCCTCCCCACTTTTTTCGACTTTATATTTAAGGAATATACTGGAGTACTTAATGTTTGCTCTAGCTCAAGAGATAATTAGAAATGCAACATGTCGTTATTCTGACAGTTTGTCCTTCTTTCCAGGCTGTTTAGATCTCTACTTTCTTTAAGACACAGATGAAGTTCTTCCTTTCTTGCCTCCAAGGCTGCAGTCTGTGTTTCCTGTGTTAACCTTTACAGTACCTATAGTTAGCATTGCTCCTTCATTCAGTTTTTCTCATGTCTGATCTCGATTAAACTGTCAGTTCCCAGAGGGCAAGAAATTGATAATGATTGTCTATTTATTACTCAAGCATAGTCTCATACACATGTACAATTATGAATTCTTGTTAAATGTATTGCTACACATTTTAAATATCTCCTTTGTGCTGGCATATCCCAAGTGTTAAGTTCTTACACTGGTGCCAGTTACATTTCAGTTTAAACATGCTGTACATGCCGTTGGGGCATGTGTATAACAGCTGCTGTCTTAAAATTTGAACACGGAAAGCTGTGCACAGAGAGACTGGAGACAGCGAGAGCAACAGCATGTAGGGGAATAATAGCTGATGGTTCTTTGCTGACTGAACAGTAATAGCAGCTCTCAGTTTTTACAGTCATTATCATCAGCTGACCTTTAAAAAAACTTTTTGCTGGACATTGTTCTAAGAGCTTTAGATAAGTTACATAGGTACAGCTGTAATTCTCATTTTATAGTGAAGATGCTGTAGAAAAACTATTGATGTGGGCATGAAGAGAGCTAGGCTATGGTTTTAGTTCTAATAGAGGCTGTAAGCTCCAGGGTGTGTCCCCCCCCCCCCCCCCCCGCGCCCAATTTGGTATAGTGTAGTCTTGAAATTAGCACATGTCCTTATTTCAGTCCTTCTATGGTACTCATCCTGGGCACGAGCATTTTTGATTGCTACAGTGTGGTGTGATAATTTGAGTTTATTTCTTTGTTGTAAGAGCCTTGAAGGGAAATTTAGGTTTGGTTTTCAGAAAAGGAGGGGAGAATTTGAGAAGGGCTTAGAGAGTTAGGAAAATAAAATGAGAATAGGGCTCTAGGTCTCGGTGTCTTTCCCTCTCCTCCCTGCCTTTCCCTTCCTTTTCCCTTTCTGACTCTTCTCCAGCTCTCTTACCCTCTTTCTCCTCCTCTTCCTTTTCCTCTATCATTTCCCTCTCCCCCTCCATCTTCTCTACCACCCAAACCAAAAATGCGTTAGTACCTTACCTTCCAAAGACACTCCTAGAGTAATAGTGTTAACACTTGAGTATTTCCTCTGTGTGTGCATGCATGCGTGCCTTATCAGTTAAGTATTGTACCTTTTATTGTTTCTTTGTATACATGAGGAAGCTGGAGGTTCAGACAATGTACATTTTGACAGGCTCACAGATGGAAACTGTTGGAGTCAGTACTTGAATTCGCATTCCCAAACCTGCCTTGTCTCTCAGAAATTGACTCTGCCCAGTACTCTGCCCAGGTTGTTTTTTTCTAGGAGCTACTTGGGATGAAGGGCCTATATGGGGTGCTCCCTGCCACAAGGTCCTCCTTCTGCTTGGCCTTTTTTCTTTGTTTCTGTAGTGTTGGGGAGCAAATCTAGGACCTTCAATATGCTATTTAGTTTTACCACTGAGCTGCGTTCCCACCTTTACATGTTTGACTGTAGTGCTGCTTTGTACTTTGGTATCACTTAGAAGTCACTTTAATCTTCAGCTTTGTCACTGGTCACAGGTCACAGGTCACTTGTCCTGCTCATGGGATAGAATGTGTGCTCTGCTTGAACACCAACAATTGCAGTGTGAAGTGTCAGCATCTTTTCTCTGTCCTCATCTCCCATCCCTACATCAGCTTTTTCTTTTTTTCTATAAGGTGTGTTAATTTAATGAAACTTCTTTTCTTTCTTCAGGTGTAATGGTATGAATTTTGTAGCCTTGGAGAAAAGTACATTAAAAGTTCCAGCTTGCAGGGCATGTATCAAAACCTGGACTTGTGTGCTTTTTGACCATTTAGGTCTTTTTGTAAACTGGTTTCTTGACTTTGTTTACTAACCACCGAGTACTGCCTGTCCTCCTTTCCCTCCACAGTGTCCTTGACTGTACCTCTTCAGTCAGCGCTCCAGCTAGTTTGTCTTCTTGCTATTCTTGTCTGCCCCGCTTTATTCTTCCTACCAACTCCCCATGTTCGCCTTTACCTTCTAGCCCTAATGCAGATTCCTGCATCTGTTTCCTCAGTTTTCTGACTTCTTGCCTTCACCTTAGTTTTGGTACACCTTTGTATAACTTCTAATTTGTGTCAAAGAAATTGAGATAGAGGTGTACAGTTTGAACTTTAAGGATTTGTGGTGTGTTGCTAAGTAAGGACTTGGGCTGCTGCTGAAGTTTTCATATTGGGATCCTGCTGCCTGCTTGCATTTCCTCCCCTTTCCTCCCCTTCCCTCCCCTTCCCTCCCCTCCCCCCCTTAAAGAAAGATTGACATTAGTAGTAAGTGCATCTATTATTTTGTATTTTAAACCCTTTATGATTTGGAGAGAAAAAAATGAGGAAAAAAAGATTGAAATGTTGATCCCTTAAATGTTTAGTTTGGTCATTAATATAATTCAGTCTTTTCTCTCCAGATTTAACTCAGGCTTTCCCTCATTTTGGAACTCCTAGATTTGTGAATATTGGATTTTTTTTGAGAAGCAGGGGTTGTTTCCTTGATATTCACTAAGGAGTCTATTTACCTTCAGGATGACATCTGAACTGGAGAGCAGCCTAACATCTATGGACTGGTTACCACAGCTCACCATGAGAGCAGCCATCCAAAAATCTGATGCTACACAAAATGCACATGGAACAGGAATTTCTAAGAAGAACGCACTCCTTGACCCAAACACAACGCTGGATCAGGAAGAAGTCCAACAGCACAAAGATGGAAAACCTCCGTACAGTTATGCCAGCCTTATCACATTTGCAATTAATAGCTCACCCAAAAAGAAAATGACTTTAAGTGAGATTTACCAGTGGATTTGTGATAACTTCCCATATTATAGAGAGGCTGGCAGTGGTTGGAAGGTAAGTATTTTGTTTAAATTATAGCTTTTGTTCAGTAAACAATGATAATAGTGTTAACTGCTATTGAAAGTAAAGCTTTATAAAATTCAAGGTTTAATTCTGACTTAATCATTTTTTAGGATTCCAAAAATGGAATCCTATTGATTGATGATTAATGATGCGAGTGTGTGTGCCACCATGCACAAATAGAGACCAAGGGATAGCTTATGGGAGTTGGTTTTCTCTTTCTACTATATGGTTGCTAGAGATCAAACTTGGGTCATGAGATGTTGTCAAGCAACTGTCATTACCCATTGAATCATCTTGCTGGCCCCAGGAATTTGTAAAGTTAGTGATTGATCCTGGTGACCCGTGCTCACCTCAGGCTGTGCAGGCCACAAAGGCCCTGCCTAGCCCCCCGGCCGCTGCGTGTGTCTCTGTTCCCCGCGAAAGGTCCCAACGGCGCCCTTAGAGAGCGGCCCAGGCCCGGAGCAGATGGGGTCAACAGTGACGCTGTGTTAGAAAACCAAAAATTGTACTGACCAGATAATAGGCTCCTTTTAGATTTTATGATGTTTTTCTTCAGTGCCCTGTATATTTCAGGGTCCCACATTGCAGTTCAGTGTCCTCCCCTCGGTCTTTCTCTAATTGGTGAATGTTCTTTTGTGACTTAGACACTTTTGAAGAGTATCGGAAATGAGGTTTCCTTGATTTGGTGGTGGTATTTTCTCATGATAGAGGTAGTGCATTTGGGACAGAATAACAAAAAGGTGACACACCCCTCTGCTTATCACAGGGCATAAAATGTCAGCACAGCCATAGTTTTTGGTTAATGTGATATCTCTGGGTTCTCCGCTGTAATTGTTAATTGTCATGTAAATACAAAGTTTTGAGGGGATATTTTGAGGGCATGTGAACACATTATTTCTTTATAAACTTCACCCAATACCTTCAGCATTCATTGCTCCTCCCTCCCCCCCTCCCCCCAGCCAGGGTTTCTTTGTGTAGCTTTCTAGACCAGGCTGGGTCTCGAATTCATAAAGATCCTCCCGTCTCTGCCTCCCGAGTGCTGGGACTAAAGGTGTGTGCCACCACTGCCTGCTCATTGCTGTTTTCTAGTGGTGATTTTTATTTTTCCTGTAAAATGAAGATTATTATTAGTTTTCTTCAGTGAGAATGAGTTTTGCACATGGCACTAGGAAGGTGAAGGCAAGCATGTTTCTGAGTGTGAGGCTAGCATGGTCTACATAGTGAGTTCCAGACTAGTCAGGGCTATGTACAGATACCCTGTCTCAAAAGGCAAACAAACAACAACAAACAAACAATAACAGTAACAAAAAACTTGCTAGTTTTTCCTGGTCTTGTGGCTCTTGTAGAGTGTTGGAGTGTTGTATCTCAGCAACCACCTGTAATTCAAGCTCTAAGAAATCCAACACCCTCTCCTGGTCTCCATGGAAACTTGCACTCATGTGCACATACATATAGGCAGACACATACAATACATTAAAGAGAAAGAGGTTTTTCTCACTTGTTCACTTACTTACTCATGATAGAAAGTGCTTGTGGGTATGGTATGCTTCATGCTTGTGGTGAACTATCTTAGGACAGGGTTTCTCTATGTAGTCTGGGCTGGCTTCCAGCTAACTTTTTTTTACTATGTAGTGAAGGCTGCCTTTGAACTTGAGATCCTTCTGTCTCAGCCTCCACATACTGTGATTATAGGTGTCTATCATCATGCCCAGCAAAACCGTATATGGAATTTCACTTGTTTGTTTGAGCCTAGTGGCTCAAATATTGTAACTTGGCAAATGCTCTATTACTGAGCTATATCCCCAACCCTCATTAACCGCCTAATCATTGAAGCTTTGGCCATTGGGAATGCTTATAGGATGGTTTCATTCTTATGCTTCCAGAGTCATTGTACCTTCCTTATGCCAGTTCTGGAATTAACCACTTCCTTAAGGAACATTTTGATACACTTCCACTTTAGTTACCTAGTGAATATATGTTATATAACAAGTAAGCCAATTTGCTTTCTTTTACTTTTGCACACGTTCATTCATATTTATGTTTTACATAGGATTTACCCAGTTGTGTGCTATGTGGAGTGTTGTGTATATTTGTGTACGCATGTGTGTGTCTGCACAGAAAAAGATTTATAGGGTTTTGTTTATATTAAATGATAGTTATTCTTCAATTTCTTATAAATGTTCCTGCTTTACTACCTTTTTATATTCTCATAATTTTTAAGGATCTTTTTATATAGTGTGCCTTGTGTTGTGGAAGATAGGCAGTTGTTTTGAGGGGAAGGATTGTGCCACACTATAGTTTTTCTGTCTCTCTTATGCCATAGCAGGTTTTGTTTTTAGTTTTTGTTTTGTTTCAGTTAATGCAGTTTAAAGTGATTCCTGCTCTCAGCCTTCCATTCTACCTTTCTTTCATATTCCTTTTCACCTTGCTATCTAAACATTTCTTTCTTTTGTTTTTCTTTTATTTCTCTTGTTCTTTTGATGTTAACTTATTGCTTCATTTTCCCCCTATAAAGTGAATATTTTTTGTGTGTTTTTTATGTGCTTCATTGATAGCAATATTATAGAAATTATTTTTGTTTAGATAGCCTGTGTTTTATTTATTACTTTTTTCCTGTACATAATTATTCAAATTATAGTTGGGTTTTCAATTTTCTCTTCGCTGACATTATTCTGAGTGCTTTTATACCATTGTTTCTTTAAGTCACACAGCAACCTCCTTCCTAATTGTAAATGTAAGAAAACAGAGGCTTAAAAAAATTAAGTAATTTTCCTACATTTTTCAGATAGAGAATGGTAGAATCAGAACTCAGTTTCAGCACTTGTTTGTAACCAGTTTTTTATATATATATATCCCATAATCTTGCAGAATCTACATAAATCATTGAATTTAATTTGCAGATTTAAAATCTCTCAACTGGATTACTAGTATGAAAAATGATTTTTAACAGCATGCTTTTTGTAAATTCGCTTTACTAGTACTTCAGTGGGAAAATATATTTTTTAAGTTTTATAAGAACTATTTTCTTTAATGTGTATTAGTGTTTTGCCTGCACGTGTGTCTGTACACTGCATGGCTTCCTGGTGCATATGGAGACCAGAAGAGGGTATCAGATCCTCTGGATCTAGAGTTAATAGGTAGTTGTGGGCCACCATGTGGGTGTTGGGAACTGAAGCTAGATTCACTAGAAGAGCAGCCATTGTTCTTAACTGCTAAGCCATCTCTCCAGCCTAGAAGCATATTTTGAAATTGGATCTATAGACTCTGGGGATGTACAGTGGTAGGTGATTTCACAGGAAGCATATAAAGCCCTGGGTTTGAACACCAGCTGCCCTGTTCCATCCTTCCAAAACAAAACCCTTTTTTCTCCTTTGAGACAGGGTTTCTCTCTGTAGCCCTGGTTACCCTAGTCTCTGCCTCCCAAGTGCTGTGATTAAAGGCATGTGACACCACTACCCAGCCAAAAGAATTTTTTTTTTTAAACCTGAGAATCAAAACAGGATTGTAAACAACTGGTAGTAATTTATTTAAACTCTGTTTTCTGTTTTTACTACCAGATACTCTAGGTGTTTTGTGGAGGTTTGGATTAGTGAGATATAAATCTGTTTAGCAGCAGAAAAACATGGTGTCTGTAGAGAAAAAAAAAAAAAAAAAAAAAAAAAAAAAAGCCAAAATTTGAGTAAGAATGCTTATCAGAGACTTTACAGGTCTTTATCAATGGCTGGAAACATGAATTCCTGAAGTTACCGGACAGGTAGCACAGAGGTACCAAACCAGTGTCTGCATCTGTAATGTGTTCTGGTTATGTGTTTACTCTTAGGCTACATAGTGGACATCCCATTTTTTCTTCCCTAAGGAAAGTGAGAAATCTGGGTTTCTGTGTAGAATTTCCCAATTTCCAGATGTTTCTAATTCCAGGGTTCTTAATCTGCAGTATAATAAATGTGTCTGTTTTGATTTTGTTTGGCCTGTGGGCTACCAATGTCTTCAGTTAATTTCATTGTCCTTTCATTAATTTGAAAAGGGCTTACTTTTCTCCTCTTGTCCCTAAGGGAGTTCAGTCTCTTAATTAGATGAAGATACATATACTATGCAATTAGGAAGCTGCATTAAAAGCTCTTGAGAATTGTGGAGTGCTGTGTTAGCTGTTGACACAGTTGGTTACAGCTATTTTGTATAAGTCATAATATATCCATTTTGTCTATGACCTAGTAAGAAGTGTTAACTCTAAAGGGTGTAGTGATGTAATTTAAAAAAAGAGACTCTACACCATGCAAAGACACCTTGTGACAGAGCTCAATCACAGGATTTTTTTTTTTTTTTTTTTTTTTTTTAATTAAGGGAAAGGGGAGGGGGGAAACTGACCTCCTGGGGACAGGAGCAATGGGAGAGAGGAAAGGGGTGGGGAGAACAGAGAGAGGGAGGGATGGGAGGTGGACAGGGCCCTTTTAAAAGGGAACATAGTGAATGTGCACAGGTGGTGATCTTAGTGACTGCAGCTAAGAACTTCAGAACCCCAAGCACAGGTCAGTAAAGATGCTGAATACTAATAATGGTTAATGAGAACCAGTGGGGAGTATAAGAGTCTAAACTTATTTCTACAAAGAATAAAGTGTTACCAGAGTAAAAAGAAGAGGACTTACTAGAAAGTTATTAAGGGAAATGAAATAGTAATTTATTTTGAAGATTTAGAGGGATATTTTAATGTAATTCTAAGCACTTGGTTATAGAGGCTCCTTGTAGAGAGTTGGAATGAGCTAGATCATAGAAACCTTAAAATACATGAAAACCCAACTGAAGAATTTGTTTCATTTTTTTTTAGGAACAGTATATAAGTTATGATTATGTTCCTCATCAACCCACTTGATTATTATCTCAATTCACAGTCAGAAATACCTTTAGAAATAGTGATACATTTTCACCTGAAAGGTACAAAGTTTATATATTAACATATGGTTGGTAGAACAGGCAGTGGGAGTAAGTGGAAAAGT